TATTTCTAGTTGTCGACAGAATATACCGATAATTTGTTAGTGAGATACCAATATGCCAACTTTTACCACACCGGCTACCAGATGAGCAGGAAATTAGTGTAAATTTCTGGAGAGTTTGATAGACCACATATTACAGACATCTCTCAACTGATTCTGAGGGGGACCCTTAACCTAGAGCTCACAAGCCAAAACTAAGCACCAAAAATCGAAAACAGGCATTAGGAAACAGATTGTGAACGAGGTCCCAGGATAGAGTTGATTGGACAATTATTGTGGACAACTCATTATCTTTTAGGGTTAAAAACTGTATGTAATTTATTACGTATGTGAGTAAGTAAATACATAAGTAAGCAAGTAGTAAGTAACCTATTATTAAGATAAATTTTTTGATATCAAATATTACGTCATGCATTGATGATCGGAGTTCACTGACTGAACATTATTCTCTCTCTCTCTCTGTGAATAGTCAATGATGATTCTAACTATACTTATAATTAAAGTCAACATGTTTCAATCACTTCAGTAGTCTTATTACTATTAAAAGACAAGATGAAAGTTATCAACATATTAACTACTACCACTACTAATACTAATGCTACTACTGCAGCTTAAAACGTGTCAAACATGTTAAATCAGGTCATTTATTGGTCAATGTCATTTTCAATAAAACCATACAATTGAATTGAAATCCGTGTATATATATATATATATAAATTAAGTAAATCACGGAGATGTAAAGTGTCTATTCTATGTTTCATTTGTTTTATTCTTCTGTGTCAATTATTCTTGTGTCAACTGATTGATTCAATATTCCAATTTTCAAAAAGACTACTGATGGGTAAGTAACAATTTTTTTATGTAATTTCGATGTTTATTCATGGGATATATCCATGTGTACACATAATATATATTGATAAAATGACCTCTAGACGAGAAGTTAGGCATTCGCGCGCAAGACCAAAGGTCCTGGGTTCGACTCCAAGGCGTAGCAGGAGTCGTGGATGCGCACTGATGATGAGTTCCATAACAGGACGAAACGGGCGTCTAGTGCTTAAGGGTTTTTAACGGTGGTGGTCTAACAATCATTCATTCATTGTTTGAATGTTTATAAATATGTAAGAGACTAATAAATTAAATTCATATTTATTTTGCGAATTGTTGAAGATTGCTATCTTAGGAAGAAATAGTTATTGAGTGGTTTTGTTGGTTATAGATATATGTTTAAATTTACCCTCTATAGGCGGCAAGGGTAATTTTTTCTCAGGAGAATCAGACATTTTCCAACACTACAAGCTGAACAGTGACTCAAACACCACACAGGTACCTGACACTCTGGTTTACCATTCACACCATTTATATCCACCAATATATATGTAACGATTATTACCGATCCACGATCATGTAAATCCATATGCTCAGCATGAACAGGCCAATTTGATTCATCCCACTTATATAACTGTCAAACTCATTTTAATTATTATTATTATTACTATTAGCAATGGTGATATGCAATACAATGTTGAAATGACAGTGGTCCTCAGGAAAGTTGCAAGACAGCCACCATCAGTATTAATGAAACTGGTTTTCCAGAACAGACTAAATTTATATACGAACTAATAGCAAAACTTGCCAAAGTAATGCGGAATCATTCACAATATTCATAATGAAACTCTGGTCTCTTAGGAAACCTTCAGGTCTGTACATAGCAATAAAGCTTATGGTATATACATTGTATGGAATAGGGTAGTAAGAGATACAGCTAATGGGCTTAAACACACCTATTACTCTTTGTCTCATTTCGGGACACGTTTTTGCTGCAAAGGCGAAATTTCCATTTCTCCGAACAAATCAGACCTGGGTTAGGGGTAGTATCACTCCTTGGTTTGAATATTTAACTCAGTAATTAAAACAGTTTCTACAAAGAAGACAATTTCATTCACGGAAAGATCATTCATTTACGACTTTCTGGACTTACTGACTCCAGCCACGACTAATAGAACATAGGCTGCCGACTAGCGATCTCGAACCGACTCTGCCCTACGAATTGCTTTTCGTTTCCACCCAATCGCTGTTCATTCTTTGCATACCTGCTTCTAATCCTCGACTTAATATGTTCGTTGACCTTCCTCTTCTCTGCCTGGAGCCCTCCTAGAGTTACTGTCGGTCCAAAGCTTGGATAATGGAGGGGGGTTGGGCATGGGGTTTATTTCCCCAACCTCTCAAAAATCAGCACACTAAAATAATACGATAACCAGGTAGAGTGGGCACATGGCTATTGTTTCTTGTTCAAGTAAACTATAGAAGGTTTTACGAATATTTCTATTAGTTAGGAAGATATTAATCATCCTAATTTAAGTAAGGTAGGATCACTAGAAAATAGAAATGAATTTTGTGATGAATTACAAAGGATATAAGTGAAATATGTAAAAAGTTAACTAAACCTTACTCCGAGAGTCAAAGAATAGCAGCACATTACCATCGAGAGACAAATAAAGTTATACTTTCTAAAATACATTAAAATACATATACTATTGAATTTTATTAAGTACGATGATTGTATACTTAAAAATTAAACAAATCGAAAATTTCAAAAAGAATTTAACTGATTATTTGTTAACAAATAATTGGTTTATTGAAAAATTCTGACTTCATAATTGTTCATCTGAGATCCTGAAAAATCAGAAAATGTACTCACTTTTGATTAGCTGTAGTAGGAAATTCTCGGAGTTCTAATCAGAAGACGTGACCAGTGGAGTTCAACTCAACCGGGTGTAGGCAGTAACTTCCGAAGATAATGAGTGAGGTTGCGCAAAATACCTAGAATGATCACCGTTGGATGCCGGTACGACATATGTCGTTGGTTCCAATCCTGTGAGTAGCGGGAGTTGTGGATGCACACTGCTGATGAGTTCCAAATCAGGACGAAACGGCTGTTCACAGCTTCCAGGTTTGTAATGATGGTGTAACAATGATTCATTCATGATTTCAAGGTAATACTCTAGTGAAAAATCAAGACTTACTTTAGTTAAACAATGATCAAACAACTGGAAAAACTAGCCTTCTTTGCTTATCAAATATGACTGACTCTAACTAAAGTTGAAAATCAAAACCATTAGAATATAAATTCAAAACAGTAAGAATGATACTTCACTTTCCTAAAAAATCTGAAAGTTTTGATTTCAGTTTATAAAAAGGTTAAATGTATGCACTATTTATCATTGTTATTTTAAACTGAATAAGCCTTTCGATAATATGCTTTGGTATTCCATTGTTTTAATGGACCGAATCAACTCCTATTCATAACGTATGTTGAAGGTAGTTCTCTATAGTGATTCATATTTCTAAGCAGTAGTTGTAGTAGTGCTGGGAGGAGTAATAGAAATGCAATGAGCAGTAGTAGTGCGAGTACTAGGAGTAGAAATAGTAGTAGTAGTAGTAGTAGTAGTAGTAGTAGTAGTAGTAGTAGTAGTAGTAGTAGTAGTAGTAGTAGTAGTAGTAGTAGTAGTAGTAGTAGTAGTAGTAGTAGTAGTAGTAGTAGTAGTAGTAGTAGTAGTAGTAGTAGTAGTTTTCTAACTCTTCCTTTCTTGATCTTCCCCCCATATTATGCTACCAGACTTTACGTTGACACTCACGTTATATACTACTTATAAGTAGTTCGCACCACAGCACCACAGTAGTAGTAGTAGTAGTAAAACTAGCAGAGAAGTATTAGTATCAGTAGGAGTAGTATTAGTAGTAGTAGTAGTAGTAGTAGTAGTAGTAGTAGTGCGAGTAGTAGTAGCAGTAGTAGTAGTAGTAGTATTGTTAGTAATAGTAGTTGTTGCAACAGCATTATTAGTAATAGTTGTTGTACTAGTACTAGTAGTTAGTCAGTCAGTCAGTCAGTCAGATGCAACGTAGAACTTTGTACGAAAGTACATCAGTTCATGTTGCCATAACACATTAGCACAGAGATGTAATTATCAATTCAAACTCAATAGTAGTAGAGGTAATATAAAGTATTAGCAGATTAGGGTTCGAAGATATGATTCGAGAAGTATAAACTATTGAAATAAAATTGAAAAAGATAAAGGTGACGAGGAACTCTGAAGGTTAGGATTTGAGAGAACACAAGGAATGTATGCACCGGCGACAGTGCAAACGGTTTTGTGCCATGTCATTCAAAGTCACTTACCGTCGATTATTATCATCTCGCGGACCCCAACCAGGTAGTCGACAAATACCGACATGACTCAGTCTACTTGTCAATTACACCATAGATTGCTGACATGTTTTGGTTTGACAGCACCTAACTATCTTCCAACCTACTCCTACACTACAAAACAAAGCTCGTCGAGGCAGTTAGTGGTTAGGTATAAGTACTAGTAGTAGTAGTAGTAGTAGTAGTAGTAGTAGTAGCAGAAGTAGTAATGGTAGTAGAAGTAGTAGTAGTAGTAGTAGTGTGAGTAGTAGTAGTACTAGTAGTAGTGGTGGTAGTAGTAGTAGTAGTGGTAGTAGTGCGAGTAGTAGTAGTAGTAGTAGTGCGAGTAGTGGTAGTAGTGTGGCAACTTGACAAAATTTAACCAAACTCGCCAGATAAAAAGACGGTATTGCTTCGATTATTTCAAAATTAGTTCGAAATTAATCACATCTAAACGCATTAATATTAGATTAGTTGATTTGAATCATTATCATTATTATTATCATTATTATTATTATTATTATTATTAAAGTAGATTTATTGCAGTAATTAATCTGTCATTCAATATCTATTATGTTAATCTTTTACAAAAACACAACAATAACAACAGATTAACTGACCTTAAAATCATTTAAAATTAAAAACCTTAAATAAGGTACACTTAATTGAGTTTGGTTATCATTCAATTGGTTCATAGTAGTTTTGTCATAGTTTGTGACTTAATTGTGATTTTCTTTCGTTTTGAGCTATAAAAAAGTGATTATTCCGATGATGTATGCACGTTTCTCTTTCTTTTCAAATGAATTGGTCAATTTGTAGAATATTGTAGAATATTTTTTTTGGTTGCGTGATTGTTATGATTGAATGTTACGAATAGACCAGGTCAATTTTACAGTGTGTGTTTTTTGGTTTAGTTAGTATGATTGATTAATCATGATTCAGTTAGAGAAAGCTGAGTGAATTTTTCAATGTAACGTGTAAATCTATGCCATTAGAGTGCATATCAAGTGTGAAAATGATTGTCTGCAGGTATAGAACGATAATTAGAATATATAATTCCGTCAGTCAGTCAGTAGCAACGTAGAACTTCGTACGCGTATGTACATAAGTTCATGTTGCCGTACCACATTAACACAGAGACGCAAATGTCAAATCAAATCCCATAGTGATGAAGATGATAGTAGAGGTATTAATGGTAAGGAAGAAGACTAGGGTTTGAAGATATTATTCACGAAATATAATTCAGTGAGATAAGGTTAGAAGACAAAGGTAGAAGTGCTGACGAATCCAGAAGATTAGGATTTTAGAGAGCTCAAAGAATGGATGCACTTGCGACATTGAAAACGATTTTCAGCCATGTCGTTCAAGGTCTCTAACCATCGGTGACTTTCGTCTTGAGGACCACAACCAGGTAGTCGGGGGTTCGATCCCCCTCCGGAGCCAACTATTCACCACCGCATTCTCACATACAATAATCATATATAATTCCGACCAACATTAGAAACTTGGAAGCATTCGATGGCTGTCAAGTTCTAGTATGTGGTTCATCAGGAGTGTGCATATACGATCCCCTGTACGCGGGGATCCAACCCATGAACTTCGGTCTCAAGCACGAACACTTAACCGCTAAATCCTAACTCCAATCAATCTAAGGTATTACTCAACCTCATCCACTGTCTTCAGTGGATAACTACAACACTGGTTACGATTTCGCACAACAATTCCCAAAATTTTCTCATAATGCTATGATTTTTAATTATATAGTTGTGAAGATCGAACGTTGCGGGTGTGATTCTGCTGAGTGAGATTGATGGATGCGTAGTTGCTAATGAGTCCCATACTAGGACAAAATGGCAGTCCACTGCTTCATAGTTTCAAACTGTGGTCTAACAGTGATCAGTTCATGATTTCAGTGAAACTCAACAATCTTAACAACCCGATACTGAAAATTATAACATAGAGTTAACAAGATGAAGTTGACAGTATCGACCATTTGCTTATTAGCTTGTATTTCGAAAATATTATGTTTATCAAGAAATCTAAAGTTCTCATATTTTATATTGCATGTAGTCTTGAGCTGGTATAACTGTGATTACTGTCTTAGAGTTAGTTGATCATTTAGGTCATTGCAACAACTCGATACACAACTATTATCATAGAATAACCATGGACTTAGACGATCTATTTCTTATGAAAATATAGAATCAATAACTTATTATATGCTGAAGTCAGTTAAACCACGGAACATTGTTGGGTTCGAGTTAGGGACTAAGCAACAATCTACTTGTCAAAAGCTCTTCTGAAAGAAACTGCTTCAAAGATCAGAAATAATTTGAAAGCCACCAGCAGGTTATATCTTCTCATTTCTGCATCAACTTGAATAGTTGTGCCAGCCTTTCACATTGTGTGAAGATTCAATCTACCTAATAGTAATTGTTGGTGTGGTAATGAGAAGGAAACATAGGCCTTGTGATATCCAAAGGAACTCGGCTTTCATTATGAGGTGTCATAACTCTCCTAAAAGAATATCTTCCAATTCTCAGGGTGGAGTTTTAATGATTCTAGTTGTTTTTTCTGGTTAGCGATTTTCGCGGGTAGAGTCGCTAAGCCCATGCCCAAACCCTCCTTCGTTATTTAGGCTTTGGATTAGTAGTAACTACAGTGAGGCTCCAGCCGGAGTTAAATGCTAACAATAATTGACAAAATGAAAACTAATTCTATCTACTTTTACTAAATAATCTTCATAATAACCATGAAATGATATTTTGATAGATTTCCTATTAATCATATATATTTTATATGAATAAAAGTTCTTTGTTTTAACTTATGAAATGATTTTGTATAGATCATTTGATATCATGAATCGATCAATATTACACCACCATTAGAAACTTTGTAGCACTGGATGGCCGTTTCGTCCTCGTATGAGTCTCACCATCAGTGCGCATCCACGACTCCTGTACCTCGCAGGATTCGAACTCAGGTAGCGCGCGAGCGCCACACTTCAAATTAAGTATTACTTAGGGATTCTACCCCTAACTCAGGTCCCATATGGTCGAAAAATGAAAATTTCCGAAACGCGAAAAAAATCGTTGCCCGACATGAGACAAAGGGTAATAGATGTGGTTGAGCCTATGTGCATTAAGCTGGACTGCCTCTTCTACTATCCTACACCATATATGTGTACACCATATGCTATACTGCTATATAGAGCTGAAGGTCTCCTATGAGACTTGAGGTTCTCTGTGAAAATTGTGGATGGTTTGGCATTGCTTTGGTAAACATTGTTAACAGTCCATATACAAAATTGGTTAGCGGGGCGACCGATTTCATTGATACATGTGGTTGTTTTGCAACATTCCCGAGGGCCATTGTCATTGGGGTGCTGTATTACATATCACACCATTGCTAATAATAATGAGTTTGACAGTCATGTAAGCGGGATGGGTCGAAATGGCCAGTTCATACGGTGCATATTGATTAACGCGATCATTGATCGGAAATATATATACACCAGTGTGTATATATGTAAATGGTAAGAATGGTCCACCAGAGGTTATCAGGTACCCGTGTGGTTGCACCACAGAATTGAGCCAAACTGTTCATGTATTAATGGTAAAACGTGTGCAGTCTCTTTGTTTTCTCCTGAAAACAAATGTAACATTACCCTTGACTATACAGGGTAAATTTATACATAAATTGTATCAGGATATATTCATCAATATTCAATGTTATCAATTGATTTGACAAATTTTCGTTTCACATTCAGATAAAACTGAATTACAATTTTCTACTGAGAATAACAAAAGTAATCATCAACTCACTACAGATATAACTCCATTCTCCATATCGATTAATGATCCATCGGCTGGATTAAATGCCACGAACATACCATCGACATCCTCTTCATCATCCTCCTCCTCTTCCATACCACCGCCGTCATCGTCATGTTCCACAACAACCACACCAACAACTCTGACAACAAGTAGTCGAATAAAAAATCAATACACAGTGAATAACAGTAATAATACTAATACTTCACGTAATCGACGACAAGATTGGTGTAAATGGCCAATTTGTCTACAATATCGTACAACAGGTTATTGTATCGGATATAATAATGCTAATGGTATCTTACCAGAATCATCACAATTATGTCAAGCTGCACATATTGGTCCAAATGATCAAGTCCCACTGTCATCCGATGGTCAAGTTCGAGTTTGTTTTGATTCAATGGGATTAGTGAATGTGAGTGGATAAGTGAAATTTTGAAATTGTATGTTTTTTTAATTTTCTTTTAAAAGAATGTTGTTCATGAATATCTACACATATTTACTTACTTAATTACTTACTTACTTACTTACTTATTTACTTACTTACTTACCTACCTACTAATGCACTTACTTACTTACTTACTTACTTACCTACTTACTAATGCACTTACTTACTTACTTACCTACTTACTTACTTACTTACTTACTTACTTGTTACCCCCAGTGGATCATAGGGTGCCGACCAGTATTCTCCAACCTACTCTGTCCTGTGCCTTCCTTTCCAGTTCTATTCAACTAATGTTCATTCTTCTTACATCTTTCTCAAATTTCTCGGCCTTCCTCTGTTCCTTTTACGTTAAAAGGTTCCGAGTGAGAGCTTGTCTTGTGAGGCAGTTGGCTGCTTTTCGCAGTGTGTTCCTATCTCCTTCCACCACTTCTTCCCGATTTCCCCTTCAGTGAAATCTGGTTTGTTCTCTACCACAGTAAGTTGTTTCTATTGGTGTCTGGTCAATGGATCCTCAATATTTTTCGTGAACAACTTTTAATGAATACTTGTATCTTCTGGAGGATAGCTTTGTTATCTTTCCAATTTTCAGCCTCATACAGTAGAACTGTTTGGATATTTGTATCGGAAATTCTGATTTTTGAGTTTCGTTTGATAGATCTTTTGAATTTCAGATGTTGTTCGATTGTAGAAATGCTGCCTTTGCCATGCCGATCCGCACCTTTACATCTGCATTATATCCACCTAGCTCATCAATGATACTGCCCAGATATGTAACTGTTTTTACCGATAACAATTAACTCTAACTTGTGGTTCATGTGTACGGATAGTTTATTTAGAAATACATTTGAATCTTATCATCATTTTTTCCAAGTTAGAAATACATTTAAAAATACCTGAAATAATGAATCAATCAATGTTTTAGACAACCACTAGAAACTTTCAAATACTGAACCACCATATTGTCATTGAATGGGACTCGTTATTGGCAGGGAATCCACAAACCCGCAAATATGAATCGAATTCAAGAACCAATTAGTCTCGCGTGTGAACATTTGACCTCTGGACCATTGAACCGGCATCCAGTCATGTCATCAATCCCATCATCCATTATATTCGTTGGTCAACTTCCTCAGACCTCACACTCGACACGACTGAACTCCCCTGGTTATGGCTTGTCATTAGAACTCCGAAAACTTCTTCAGGAAATCAGTCATTAATGAGCAAGTGATCGTTTTCATTAGAGAGTTGTAAAGATTGCTGAGTTTCTTTGAAAATATAAATCGTTCTTGACATGTTTAATTAACGATTTTCGTCATTTCATAATGATAATAACAGTACAATTGTTATTTATGAATGAATTTGGAACAAAGAACTGGACTTCCGTTTCTTTTAAGTATGGGATTCATCAATAGTGTACATCCACGACCCCAGATCAGCAGCTTAAACAACCGCGCACGAGACTGAATGTGCTGGTTTCGATTCCTTCGTGCGTAGGTCGTAGATGCGCACCGCCGATACTGAAAATCACAATGAGTGCGCACTAATGACTAGCTCCATGAGGAAGTTTCTCTAGTAAGTCTCTCTAGTAAGATGTCGTGACCAG